AATGACATGAGACAAAGTATATGTGAACTGCTGTATGAAAAGTGAATTTACTCTGTAAATCTTCACCCAAATCCTAATAAAAAAAAAAAAGAGAGAAAAAAAAAAAGAATATATATACATATATTCTTCCTTTCTTTCAGCAATGACATCATGGTACATATTGCTCCATCCTTTGCTTTTTGTACTGAAAAAACATATCAAGCCCTTGGGGGAAGCAGAGTAACTCTGAGTGTTGGAGGGAGTGTCATTTCCCCACCTGAAGACGGCCTGAGCAATAGCTCTGCCCCACTGAGAGATGGAGAGAGGGTGCTGTAATACAAGACCCCCGGGGAGGATGGATCGAGGGGTGACTCGTCCATCACCAAAGGAGTCTATTACACGATCAGATAGCTGGAGTGTGCATTCATCCAACATTCGAACAACAAATGACCGTGCCCCTACCGTAGGCCACACCCCGTGCGAGGAACAGAGAACAACACCATCCACACAGCACGGGCCTCCTGACCGCCATCCACAGAATCCTTGAGATGCATTTCAGGAGGGTTAATTGGTTGTTTAAGGAGCCCTGGTGGCTCCTGAGGTTAAACACTCGGCTGCTAACTGAAAGGTTGGCAGTTTGAACCCACCAGCCCCTCTGCAGGAGAAAGATGTGGCAATCTGCTTCCGTAAAGATTCAACCAAACCCAACCCACTGCCACTGAGCCAATTCTGACTCTTAACAGCCCTGCAGGACAGAGTAGAACCGCCCCATGGGGTTTCCAAGGCCGTCACCTTCATGGAAGCAACCTGCTGAATTTTTCTCTTGTAGAGCAGCTGGTGGGTCCACACCACTGACATTTTGTCTAGCAGCCCAGTGCTTAACCACGGAGCCACCAGGACTTCTCCATAAAGATTACACTCCACACAAGGGGCAGAGAATAAAATCCTCCATACAACATAGGCCTGCTGTCTGAGAGCTGCAGTGCAGATTCTGTACAAACAACAGCCTTGGAGACCCTCTGGGGCACTTCTACTCTGTCCTCTCAGGGCACTGGGAGTTGGAATCGACTCCATGACAACAGGATTTGGATTAATTCCTTGTTTATAGATTATTAACCACAGAGACTGAAAATTGAAAGAAGAACATAGAACTTGAGTTACCCCTCCCCTCCATGGCTAAATATGTCCTTGAAGATAAGTTCCCATGAAACCCAACTCCTGGCCTCTACACCGTGAAAAGAAATCCTCATGGTTGGCCGCCCAAGCAGTGGACCGTATCATTTGGCTTTGACTACAGCTGAGGAAGCAGTGAGGCCAGGAAGGATGCCAAGGTAGGAGGGGCAGGTGGAAGAGAAGATGCCCACGGGCGAGACTGAGCAGCACTGCACACACGGGATAACACTGAGCGTAAAATCCAGACGTGAGCGTCACGGCGGTGCATCTGTCTGCACAAAGGTCGGAAGAAGACCACTGGGAGGGGTGTGAAAAGTTAGCAGACTCAGTCTCTGTGCAAGGAGTCCTAGTGACACGCTTCAGTGGTGAAGCGCCCAGCTACTAACCACAAGCTCAGTGGTTCAAATCCACCCAACAGCTTCACAGCACAAAGACCAGGCAACCGCTCTGGAAAAGATTAAGCTCCACCGCCAGCCAGTTGATTCTGACTCATAGGAACCCCATACGGTAGAGTGGAATTTCCCCAAAGGCTTTCCAAGGCTGTAAATTTTCACAGAGGCAGACTGCCTCATCTTTCTCGCAGATCGGCTGGTGGCTTTGAACAACCCTTTTGATTAGCAGGCAAATGTCTTAACCACCGTGTAGCCAAAGCTCCTTCCTCATAAAGAATAAACCACTCAAACCCAAACTCACTGCCATCAAGTCAATTTCAGCCTATAGCAACCCTATGAAAGAGAGTAGAACTGCCCCCACAGGGTTTCCAAGGCTGTAAATCTTTAAGAAGCAGACTACCACGTCTTTCTCCTGTGGAGTGGCTGGTGGGATAGAACCCATGACCTGTCAGTTAGTACCCAGACCCTTCCTCATAAAGATTAAACCACTCAAACCCAAACTCACTGCCATCAAATCAATTGCAACTCATAGCAATCCTATAGGACAGAGTAGAACGGTCTCATTGGGTTTCTAAGCTTGTAAATCTTTATGGAAACAGAGTGTTGCATCTTTCTCCCGTGGAGCAGCTTTTTGGTTAGCAGCCGAGCACTTAACTATTGCGCCACCAGGGCTCCTTCTCCGTAAAGGTTACGCATAGAAACCATCATGGGACAGTTATTCTCTGTCACATGGGGTCACCGTGAGTTGGAATCCACCAGACAGCACTTACCAACAACAGTGTTTCTTAGGTTCATTTTAATTTCATTTTTCTGGTTTGTTGCCTAAGTTCTTTGTGGAAAAAATTTAAAATAAATTAAAAAGCAGTCTCCCATTGTTTAATTTACTGTCAACTGCACAGTGTTTCCCACCACTCATTGGTCATTTTGTCACCCTGTGGTGGCTTACATGTTGCTGTGAGGCTGGAGGCTATGCTGCCAGTATTTCAAACACCATCAGGGTCACCCACGGTGGACAGGTTTCAGCAGAACTCCAGACTAAGACAGACTGGGAAGAAGGAAGGGGCCATCCACTTCTCAAAGACTTGGCCAATGAAAACCTTACAAATAACAATGAAACACTATCTATTACTGGACAACTTGATGAATAGCCCTGAAACATTGTCCAATATAGTGCCAGAAAATGAACCCCCAGATCAGAAGGTTCTCAAAATCCGAATGGGGAAGATCTGTCTCCTCAGTAGGGCCGACCTTAATGATGTGGATGGAGTAAAGCTTTTGGGACCTCCATTTGCTGATGTAGTACAACTCAAAATAGGAAGAAACAGCTGCAAACATCCATTAATAATAGGAACATGGAATGTCTGATGCATGAATCTAGGAATATTGGAAGTTGTCAAAAATGAAATGGAACACATAAAGGTCCATATCCTAGGCATTACTGAGCTGAAATGGACTGGTTTTGGCCATTTTGAATTAG